TGAAAGTCCTTTGGACAGCACAGAGATCAAACCAGTAAATCCTAAAGGAAATCAACCCTGAATATTCATTGGAAGGACTGGTGCTGAAGCTGGAACTCCAGTAATTTGGCCACCTAATGTGAAGAGCCGACTAATTGGAAAAAACCTTGATGCTGGGAAAGATTGAAGGTAAAAGGAAAAGGGTGCAACAGATGCGATGGCTGGATGGCATGACTGACTCAATGAAAATGAGTTTGAGCAAACTCCATGAGATGGTGAAGGCAGTGTAGCTCGGCATGCTGTAGTCCATGAGGTCGCAAAGTGCCAAACATGACGTAGTCACTGAATAAAAACAACAGTGCATATATATGGCATCTAGAAAGATAGTACCAAAGATACTTCAGGCAAGGTAGCAAAGGGGACACAGACTTTAAGAACAAATTTGGATACAGTTGGAAAAGGATAAGGCGGGATGATTTGAGAGAATAGCATTGAAGTATATATTTATCATATGTAAATTAGATAGCCAGTGAAAGTTTGATGTATGATTCAGGGAACCCAAGGCCAATGCTCTGTGACAACCTATAATATGGGGTTGTAAATCAGGAGAGAGGGGGATCATGAAGGAGGGGACATATGTATTCATATGGCAGATTCATGTTGATATATGGCAAAAACTATCACAATATTGTAATTTTCCTGCAATTAAAAAATAAATACATTTTAGAAAAAAAAATATTTGTCCTATTCCATAGCCTTCTTTTTATTGGAATATAGTTTCTTTACAATGCTGTGTTTGTTTCTGCTGTACAATAATTAATTGTACAGAAATATATTGCTGAGCCACTAAAAGGAACAAAATAGGGTCATTTAGAGACGTGGATGGACCTAGAGTCCATCAAACAGAATGAAGTATGTCAGACAAGAAAAAAATGAATATAGTATAATGTTGCTTATATGTGGAACATAGGTTATCTTTTTATATTGATTTATGTTTGATTTATATTTATATTGATTGTTTCTTTTGCTGTGCAGGCTCTTAAGTTTGAGGCAGTGTCACTTATTTTTTATTTTGTTCCTTGAATATCAGATAAATTAATTTCAAAACCTATGTAGAGGAGATTTTTTTGGGGGGGTTCTTTCTTATAAGAATTTAATGGGGGACAGTCCCAAGATGGAGGAGGAATAGAACTGGGAGACCAGTTTCTACACCACAAATTCATCAAAAGATCAACTTAATGCTGAGAAACATCCACAAAACAACTTCTGAACACTGGAGGACACCAGGCACCCAGAAAGGCAGCCCAATCTCTTCAAAATGATGTAGGACAAAATATAAAAGATAAAAAATGAGACAAAAGAGTTAGGGATGGAGACCCATCCTGGGGAGGGAGCCGTGAAAGAGGAGAAGTTTGCACACAATAGGAAACCCTCTCACAGGCATGTATATAAGAAATTTTGGAATCTCAGAGGGCAACATAACTGGGAGGAAAAACAGACAAACAAAAAACAACAACAACAACAAAAAAAAACCAACAGAATACTCGCCCAACCACAACTGCCAGCAGAGAAGTGGCCCAGACACTGTTGTCCACTACCAGCAAGTGGGGACTGGGCAGGGAGTTGTGGGATATATCATCATTCCTTAGGGTAAGGACCAGCTTGGAATGCCCTGAGAACAGTCTGAGGGAGCTAATGTGGGATAGCAACCCAAACCGTGAGATCACCAAAGAGACCAAAAAGAAAGACCTTTCCCATGAAAGGCTTTAATGCCTCACGGTGACCCCTGGCCCACTCTTAGAACAAACTATTGAGCAAATACCAAAGGAGAGCAAGCTGCTTACCATATATGGCCTCCTCTCCCTGGAGGCAGAGAGGCAGGTGTGCAACAGTCAGAGCCAGAAGGCAAGGGACTGCTTCAATCTCGGCCCCAAGGACCACATCTTCCACCAAACTGTGGGCAGGTTCCCAGTTGCTAACCACGTCTTCCTGGAATCCTGGTTGGTTGACATCAGCCAGGAAAGTCACAGCCTGAGCTCAGCTCCCCAGAGGAGACACATGGCACACCTGGGACTGTGCTCTCATGGAGCACCCGGGGAAATGAGCGACAGGAACTGGAGTGGTAACTAAGACCCATGGCCCACCTGGGACTGTGCGCTCACCAAGCACCCGATTGCCTAAGCTGCTTGGACCTGGGAGGGTCACAAAACACACAGCCCATCCTAGTCTGTACCATTGTAAAGCAGCCAAGAACCTGAGAAACTTAGACCTGAGAAGTGCATGAAATGCAGGGCCCATGTGGGACAGTTTCCTTGCAGAGCACCCTGGTACCTGGCAGCATACACCCAGGAAACACTTGCCACTTTGGGCTATGGCAAACCCAGTGTGTTCCATCCACTGCGAGTACTTCCCACACATACCAGTGCTTTTTGTTTCCAGTGTCCCTTCCTCTCCACAACACAATTAAACAAGTGAGCCTAAATAAGTGGCCACCTTTGTCCCTTTGTGTCAGGGCAGAAATTAGACACTGAAGAGGCTTGCAAACAGAGGAAGCCAAAATAAGAAAAGAAGGGGGAACTGCCCTGGAAGTAACAGGTGCAGTGGGTTAAAGCATTTAACACTGGAGACATCTGAGGGGCACCTATAGACCTTGAGAACTAGTACAAGCTGGAACAAGGGACAACCTGACACTGAACTGACCCCACACTGCCCACAACAGCTCCAGAGAAATTCCTAGATATATTTTTTTAGTATAAATAACATATAATGATATTTTGATAATATATTAATAATATAGTGATGTTATTATCACCTTTTAATTTAAAATGTTTATTAATATTAATATAATATTCTGTTAATGTTAGTCTAATAATATTCTATTAATATATAATTCTATTAATATTGATACATCAATGCTGTATTATATTATTAATAATATATTAATTATATAGTGATACTATTATCACTTTTTAATTAAAAAATTCTAGCCTACCATTACCTTTCCAAAAAAAAAAGTTTTTTTTTTAAAACTCCATATATATGTTTTTAATTATTGTGATTGACTATGTTTTATATTTTTTATGTTGTATTTTTGAGAGTCTGACCTCTATTCTAGGTTTTTAATCTTTGCTTTTTGATATTTGTTATCAATTTTGTACTTCAAAAATCTAACCTTCAGTACCCATTTCCCCACTGCCCTCTCAACTTTTGACTCTCCCTTTTCACCTCCAGGTGACCTTTATCTCCTTCCTCCCTCTTCTCTTCTCTATATAATTCTATGAATCTCTCTGGATGTTCCAGGCTGTGGAGAGCACTTAGGGATTAGATTATTGGGTAGATTGCTCTCTCCACTTTTGACTCCCCCTTTTCTCCTCCTGCTCACCTGTTTCCCTCATCCCTCCTCTCTTCTCTATATAACTCTGTGAATCTCTCTGAGTGTTGCTAACTGTGGAGCATTGTTTCATCAATTAAACTAGGAACTCTATTTTCTATGCTGTATAGATAGAGAAGTCTTAAGGCTACTGAAAGAGAAGGACCAAAAGCCAGAGGCAGGTGGCTTAACTCCAAAGCTTTAGAACATCAGAGAACTCCTGACTCCAGGGAATATTAATAGATAAGAGCTCATCCAAAAGTCTCCACACCTACACTGAAACCAAGTTCCACCCAAGAGGCAACAGGACCCAGTGCAAGACACACCATGCTAATTCTCCCACAAAACAGGAACACAGTCATAAACATTAAAAGATGGCTTTCCTAAAGGTGTGCTAAATCCATAGACACCCCCAACTCACTACTGGACACTTCATTGTACTCCAGAGAGAAGAGATCCAGTTCTACCCAGCAGAACACAGACACAATCTCCCCCAACCAAGAAACCTTGACAAGCCATTAGTCCAAACCCACCCACAGGGAGCAGAATCCACAATTAAGAGAGCCGAAGAACTTCCAGCCTGCAGAAAGGACAACCCAAACACAGCAATCTACATACAATGAAAAGGCAGAGAAATATTCAGCTGGTGAAGGAACATGAAATAAAAACCCACCAAACCAAACCAAAGAGGAGGAAATAGGGAGTCTACCTGAAAAAGAATTCAAAATAATAACAAAAATTTGAAAGCAAAATGGATTTACAGATAAATAAACCAGAGGCAAGGATTGAGAAGATGCAAGAAACGTTTAACAAGGACCTAGAAGAAATAAAGAAGAATAAATCAATAATGAATAATGCAATAACTAAGATCAAAATCAATCTGGAAGGAACCAACAGTACAATAACTGAGGCAGAAGAGAGGATAAATGAGCTGGAAGATAGAATGGTGGAAATAAATGAAGCAGAGACTAAAAAAGATTTAAAAGAAATGAGGACAACCTCAGAGACCTCTGGGAGAGTGTTAAATGCCCCAACATTTGAATCAAAGGTGTCCTAGAAGAAGACAAAAAGAAAACATGAGGAAATACTTGAGGAGATAATAGACAAAAACTTCCCTAAAATGGGGAAGGAAATAACTACCCAAGTCCAAGAAACCCAGAGAGTCCCAAACAGGGCAAACCCAAGGCAAAACACCTCAAGACACATATTAATCAAACTAGCAAAGATCAAACACAAAGAGCAAATATTAAAAGCAGCAAGGGTAAAGCAGCAAATAACACACAAAGGGTTCCCTTTAAAGATAACAGCTGACTTTTTGATAGAAACACTCCAGGCCAGAAGGGAATGGCAGGACATACTTAAAGTGATGAAAGAGAAAAACCTACAACTAAGAATACTCTACCCAGCAAGACTCTCCTTCAGATTTGATGAACAAATCAAAAGCTTTATGGAGAAGCAAAAGCTGAGAGAATTCAGCACCACCAAAGTAGCTCTTCAACAAATGCTAAAGGATTGTCTCTAGACAGGAAACACAGTAAAGGTTTTTAAAAATGAACCCAGACTTATGGGAGTGCAGCATTGCAGCATAGGATAAGTTGGCTCTGGACAGTGGTGAGTTGGAGGGGACCTCAGGCAACCGGCAACTGGGGCCATGGCCTCCGACCTGGACATCTCCCCTCCCGAGGTGCTTGAGTCCATGTACCTGGGGAACCTGCTATGGTATAGAGTCTTTCTGGGGGCCATCTTCCAGCTCATCTGCATGCTGGCCATAATCATTCCTGTTCACAAGTCCCACAAGGCAGACGCAGAACCATCTGAGCCCCGAAGTGCAGAGGTGATGAGGAAACCCAAGGTCAGTGCTCCTTTGCAAACAAGAGACCCAAGAAGGAGGCCAAGAAGAAGTGGTAGAAGAGGCAGCCTTCACAGCTTGGCAGGCAGGCAAGGGCCTTGAGGTCAGACCTCCTGGGGCACAAGGTCTCAGGTGTCTGGGTTGCCCTCTGACTGCAGAGATCTGGACAATCATGACAGTGCCCAGACCCCAGTGGGCAGACCACCACTTCTTCCGTCTGCCTTCCTGAGGGGTTAGAGCCAAGGGGGCTGAAATACCCTGTGAACAGAGACTGTCCTGGAAGCCTCTTGAAAAGTTGGGTCAACTCACAGATTTCCATTTTCTGACTTAATTCCCATGTCCTACTTTTAGTCACCCACCTTGTAGGTTTACACTATGTTTTAGAGTCCTCATCTACTGCTGCAAGCACCACCCTCTGCCATTATCCATGCCCTGCAGATCAGATCTCCTGCTAATCAGTCCCTTTGTCTCTGCTTGTGCAGAGGAAGCTGGGCCAGAACTCTCCTATTTTTTTTTTAGGTCAAGACTCCAAGGCCATTAGCACAGTGGTCCTACTGATGGAGAAGCCAGTCCTTAAAGAAGCCTGGCCCTCCTCTGGCTGATGGAAGGTATTTGGCTTAATGAGTGTGTATTCTTGAGCCCAAAGGTCCTGAGCATCTCAAATAGGGGGTAGGGGCAGGGACTTGTCAATTGCAGACCAATTCAGCCCACCACAGCACATTGAGGGTATACCTGTTCGCTTCTGTCTGTATCCCCACCCCCACCTTCAATTCTTTCAACCCTTGACCATAGTCATTTGGGGGAAGTAAAGTCAATAAATGGTCCCACACACTGAAATAAATAAATAAATAAATAAATAAAAATGAACCCAAAACAATAACAAAAAAATAACTGGTAAGAGGATCATACTTATCAATAATTACCTTACATGTAAATGGGTTAAATGCTCCAACAAAAAGACAAAGACTGGCCAAATGGATAAAAAAATAAGACCCCTATATATGCTGTCTACAAGAGACCAATCTCAAACCTAGGGACACATACAGACTTAAAGTGAAGGGCTGGAAAAAGATATCTCATGCAAATGGGGACCAAAAGAAACCAGGAGTAACAATACTCATATCAGAACAAATAGACTTTGAAATAAAGGCCATGATCAGAGACAAAGAAGAACACTACATAATGATCAAAGGACCAATCCAAGAAGATATAACAACTATAAATATATATGCACCCAACATAGGAGCACCTCAATATGTAAGGCAAATTTTAACAAGTATGAAAGGAGAAATTAAAAGTAGCACAATAATAGTGGGGGACTTTAATACCCAACTCACACCTATGGATAGATCAACCAAACAGAAAATTAGCAAGAAAACACAAACTCTAATGATACAATGGACAATTTAGACTTGATTGATATTTACAGTGCATTTACCCCAAAACAATGGATTTCACCTTTTTCTCAAGTGCACAAGGAACATTCTTCACGATAGATCACATCCTGGGCCATAAACCTAGCCTTTGTAAATTTTTAAAACATTGAAATACTTTCAAGCATCTTTCCTGATCATAATGCAGTTAAATTATATGTCAACTATAAGAAAAAAAATTACTCTTAGAAATACAAACATATGGGGGCTAAACAACACACTTCTGGATAGATAACCAAAAGATCATGGAAGAAATCAAAAAGGAAATAAAAATATGCATAGAAACAAATGAAAATGAAAACACAACAACCCCAAACCTACAGGATTCAGTAAATGCAGTGCTAAGAGGGAGGGTCATAGCAATACAAGCCTACCTCAAGAAACCAGAGAAACATAAAATAAGTAACCTAACTTTACACCTAAAGCAACTAGACAAAGAAAAGAAGAATCCCAAAGTTAGTAGAAGGAATGGAATTATAAAAATTAGAGCAAAAATAAATGAAAAAGAAATGAGACTATAGCAAAAATCAGCAAAACTAAAAGCTGTTTCTTTGAGAAGATAAATAAAATAGACAAACCATTAGCCAGACTCACTGAGAAAAAGGGGAGAAGAATCAAACAAATAAAATTAGAAATGAAAATGGAGAAATCACAACAGACAACACAGAAATACAAAAGATCATAAGAGACTACTACAAGCAATTAGGGCTTCCCTGGTGGATCAGAGGTTAAAGCATCTGGCTGCAATGAGGGAGACTTGGGTTCAATTCCCAGGTTGGGAAGATCCCCTGTAGAAGGAAATGGCAACCCACTCCAGTACTCTTCCCTGGATAATGTCATGGACGGAGGAGCCTGATAGGCTACAGTCAATGGGATCACAATGAGTCATACACAACTGAGCAACTTCACTTCTTCATGAGAAACTATATGCCAATAAAATGGACAACTTGGAAGAAATGGACAAATTCTTAGAAAAGAATAACCTTCCAAAACTGAACCAGGGAGAAATAAAAAATCTTAACAGACCCATCACAAGCATGGAAATTGAAGGTATAATAAAAAATCTTCCAACAAACAAAATACCAGGAACAGATTGTGTTACAGGTGAATTCTACCAAAAATTTAGAGAAGAGCTAGTACCGATCTTACTCAAACTTTTCCAGAAAATTGCAGAGGAAGGTAAACTTCCAAACTCATTCTATGAAGCCACCATCAACCTAATAGAAAAACTAGACAAAGACACCACAAAAAATAAAACTTCAGGCCAATATTACTGATTCACATAGATGAAAAATCCTCAAGAAAATTCTAGCAAACAGAATCCAACGACATATTAAAAAATCATACATCATGACCAAATGGGCTTTATCCCAGGGATACAAGGATTCTTCAATATTTTCAAATCAATGAATGTGATACATCGTATTAACAAGTTGAAAGATAAAAACCATATGATCATCTCAATAGATGCGTAGAAAGCCTTTGACAAAATTCAACACCCATTTATGAACAAAACTCTCAAGAAAGCAGGCATAGAAGGAACATACCTCAATATAATAAAAGCCATATTTGACAAACCCACAACAAACATTATCCTCAATGATGAAAAATTGAAAGCATTTCCTCTAAAATCAGGAACAAGAGAAGGGTGCCCACTCTCATCTACTATTCAACATAGTTTTGGAAGCCCTAGGCACAGCAATCAGAGAAGGAAAATAAATAAAAAGAATCCAGATTGGAAAAAAAGAAGTAAAATTCTCACTGTTTACAGATGACATGATCCTCTACATGGAAAACCCCATAGACACAACCAGAAAATTACTAGAGCTAATCAATGAATATAATAAAGTTGTAGGATATAAAATTAATACACAGAAATCCCTTGCATTCCTATACATTTAAAATGAGAAACCAGAAAGAAAAATTAAGGAAATAATCCCATTCACCATTGCAAGGAAAATAAGAAAATACCTAGCAATAAATTTACTCTTGGAATAAATTTTCTAGGAATAAATAAATAAATACCTAGGAATAAATTTACTAATAAATAAGAAACAAAAGACTTATATATGTAGAAAGCTATAAAACACTGATAAAAAAATCAAAGATGACAAAAATAATTGGAGAAATATACCACATTCATAGATTGGAAGAATCAATATAGTGAATATGTGTATACTATCCAAAGCAATCTATAGATTCAATGCAATCCCTATCAACTCCCAAGAGTATTTATCACAGGACTGGAGCAAATAATTTCACAATTTGTATGGAAACACAAGAAACCTCGAATAGCCAAAGCAATCTTGAGAAAGAAGAAAGGAACTGGAGGAATCAACCTGCCTGACTTTAGACTATACTACAAAGCTACCACCATTAAGACAGTATGGTACTGGCATAAAGACAGAAATAAAGATCAATGGAACAAAATTGAAAGCCCAGAGATAAATCCATGCACCTATGGACTCCTTATATTTTACAAAAGAGGCTAAAATATACAATAGCGAAAAGACAATCTCTTTAACAAGTGGGAAAATTGGTCAACCACCTGTAAAAGAATGAAACTAGAATACCTTCTAACACCATACACAAAAATAAACTCAAAATGGATTAAAGACCTAAATGTAAGACCAGAAAGTATAAAACTTTTAGAGAAAAATATATGCAGAACACTCTCTGACATAAATCATAGCAAGATCCTCTATGACCCACCCATCAGAGTAATGGAAATAAAAACAAAAATAAACAAATGTGACTTAATTAAACTTAAAAGCTTATGTATGACAAAATCACTACAATATTGCAAAGTAATTAGGCTCCAATTAAAAAAAATATATATATATATGTATATATTCAATTGACACAACAAATAAAAACGTTCAAAATCTAAAAAAAAAAAAAAAAGCTTTTGCACAACAAAGGAAAGTATAAGCAAGGCAAAAAGGCAGCCATCAGAATGGGGGAAAAATAATAGCAAATTAAACAATTGACAAGGAATTAATCTCCAAAATATGTAAGCAGCTCATGCAGCTCAGTACCAGAAAAATAAATGACCCAATAAAAAAAAGAGCCAAAGAACTAAACAGACATTTCTCCAAAGAAAACATACAGATGATGAACAAACACATGAAAAAATGCTCAACATCACTCATTATCAGAGAAATGCAAATCAAAACCACAATGAGGTACCATCTCATGACAGTTAGAATGGCTGCCATCAAAATGTCTACAAGCAACAAATGCTGAAGAGGATGTGGAGAAAAGGGAACCCTATTACACTGTTGGTGGGAAGGCAAACTATTACATCCACTATGGAGAACAGTGTAGATTCCTTAAAATACTGGAAATAGAACTGCCACATGACCCAGCAATCCTACTGCTCAGCATACACACCAAGGAAACCAGAATTGAAAGACACACGTGCACCTGCAATGTTCATTGAAGCACTGTTTACAATAGCCAGGACATGGAAGCAACCTAAGTGTCCATCCACAGACAAATGGATAAGCAAGTAGTGGTACATATACACAATGGATTATTACTCAGCTCTAAAAACTGAATGCATATGAGTCAGTTCTAATGAGGAAGACAAAACTGGAGCCTATTATACAGAGTGAAATAAGTCA